GGGTACCAATACAGATGCCAGATGTCTGCTCTGATGCGTGCTAATTAGCACGCATCAGAGCAGACTGAATTAATTAGCATACTCCAGCAGCTTCTGCGTCACATGTATGCAGCATCCCTGTACTTCAAAATGGTTGCAGGAGTGTTTTAATGACAGCTCATTGAACGAGTTTTAGTCAAAGTGCCCCCATTGCCATTTTGAAGTATGGGATGCTGAATACACATGACCCTGTGGGCGCTTTAATTAGAGTGGCTCTCAGAGTGCCTCCCCTCCACCCTGCAGCATGTGTAAAGACTCCCAGAGTGCAGACACATGCCCTGATTACTACAGCATACTTTATTCTGAATGTTATTTTGTAATATATGATTAGGTCTCCCAAACTGTCTGCAGCAGTTTTTTTGAGTTCACAGCCATTACGTGGGGAGGGAGCCAGTTGGTATTGGCCGTGTGGTACCCCAGGATGAAATTGACAGTGGTAAAATTTACATCTGGTACACTGGAGTAAGTCATATCAGTGTACATAGGCAGATCCAAGATTTAAAAAAGGGGGGTTCAGGAGCAGCACTGCAGGAGTGCTATACTCCCATGCCCCCAGTCTCCCACCACCACCGAGGCCACCAGCATGGGGACTTTTTGCAAATCCCTGAATAAGTCAAGAATCTTGCCACATTCCCCAACTCTTGGCACATCCTCTCTTCCCCTCCATGCTCAGCATCACCTCCCATTTTTCCCACCTCACCCTCTCAACTTATGCTTCTGGGGTAAGGAAAGAGAGACTTGCTCACTACTGCCACCATCCCAGCTGTTCCTGCAGACCCAGGCTCATCTAGGGATAGCAACAGTGGCAGGCAGGTCCTTTCTTCTTGTGCCTGCTTCCAGGCTGGCAGGGAATACTAGGGCGAATCTAATGCCACCACAGCTCCCCATGCAGCCCAGCTGGAGCAGAGTAGTTCTGGAGGTCCCCCTGGCCTCAGGTCAGCTAGAGACAGTGGCAGTGGTAGGGAAGCAGGGGAGGAAATAGGAAAGGGGAGGGGAAGGGAAGTACTTCTGAGCATAGAGGGGAAGGGAGGAGGTGCTGGGGGGTGGATTTTTACCCTTTTAAGGACTTTTTAAAGTCCCAAGCTGCTACTCCCACACTATGATCTGAAAGGGTTGTATGACTGCATCACTTCACCCCTTCTGGATCAATTTTTGCCAACATATATCTATTTTGAAATTTCTAAGGAGTAATTTATCCCAGATGGGAGTGTTATACAGTGGTGTAAGACTGTACATGTTATATCTATTCCCTGGAGTGAAGTTAAATTGTTCTGAAGCAACCATGTTATAGCATTGCACCTATAGGTAATAAGCCATCCTCTTTCTGTAGCTCCTAAGTCACTACTATAAATAATAATAATAATAATACAATAATAATAATAATAATAATAATAATAATAAATTGCAATATTGGATAAAACTGAATCCTTACATAGACAGCATAAGTATTATCTTGCATGTTTTCTTTCTTCACACAAAAAAGCCCGTCATCATAAAAAAGCCATGGGTGGAATTTCCAAACTAGCTGTGAATATTATGGCATTTGTTAATTGAATAAAACCCTTCAGTTTATTCTGAATTTTGCTTAATTTCTTGGGACTTGAAATAACAGAAACTATCCCCACTGTTTAGTATTTCAGTTAAGTAATTTAGTATCCTAATGTTACTTTACATCTGTCAGAATATGATATATTACATATTTTGTTTTACGATAATAAAATGAATGCTGTCTGAACCTGGATAAATCCCAGGTAAACTGTAAAATTGGCTCATTGCAAAATGGTTTTTATAGTCAAATCTATACAGTAGGCATATTTCCTTTGTGGATATTCTGTTGGTTCATATCAATCAAACCAGGTCTGTAACAGATGATATATTTAATTTTTATTGTGTAAAGAATGCAAAAAGATAATGCTATAGTTAGTTCCCTTCCCAGTTTATATTTTTATATCCTCCTGTCTTCAGCTAACTATCACTAAACATTTCCAGTGAAATACATAATATTTTGTTCTTTAGAAATAATTTTTCTTTATTCTAGCTTGAATGAGCATTTAAACTTCAAATTGCAAAAAACATAGGTTCTGAGAAATCCCATGTCATTTGAGACATCTTGTTTGTTGTAGTACCAGAACTGTTAACTAGTAATACTTATAATATACTATATTCAGTGCCTTTCATATTGTACTTGTTCAACAGCAAAGATGATGTTGGGAAATAAAGAAATTAAATAATCTATGTAAGACGTCATTAAAAATGTGCCATGTAAGTTTTCAAAGTCAAGCGTAGTTGTCTTAACTAGTATCAGCCAGTCAATAAGCATATAGTATTTCACTGGTTTCTTTATAGCTGGAGATGGTCTAGCGTGGCAGTGATAAATCAAAGTGGCTGAGTTTCTTCAGCTATTAGCTAAAGCAGGGGTCAGCAACGTATGGCCACTGGGCTGCATCTGGCCTACAGAGTCACTGGATCCAGCCCACAGAGCTGAAGGTCTTTGCCTATGCCCACATCTGCACCCATGCCAGGGCTAAGCAGCAAGTTGCTGCACAGAGGCCAGGTAACATCCAGCTGTGTCTACACCACTACTGCTTTCCCTCTCCACCTGCTCCATAGCCTCCTCCCAGCTCTGGCAGAGCCGCAGCTTCCAGAGCCAATAAGGAGTTGCACCAGGGTCAGGCAACTGGAAGCTATGTCCACATAGCTGCCTCTTCTCCTTTTTTTCACTACCCCTCCCAGCTTCAGTACAGAAGTGGTGGCAGCATGAACACAGCTTCCAGCTACCCAGTTCTAGCACAGCTCCCCTCTGGCTGGAAGCTGAGCCTGTGCCCAAGCCAGGAAGTGGGGGGCTGGGAGAAGTGGAGGAAGCACAGGCTTGCAACTCCCAGCTGCTCAGCCTTGGTGCTGAAACGGGGAAATCTGCCACTACTGATTGAGTGTGGGAGCCACCTGGCTTGCATTGAACTAGAGCTGGGTGGTTCTGGCCTGTGGGTTGAAAAGGTTGCCAGCTGCTGACCTAAAGTAAAAATTTGTTGAGTGCCTGATTTGGATGAATAAGAGTAAGTCTTAAAAATTATCTAAATGATTAAATTCATATACTACAGTCTTTTGATATGTGTGGATGTACATTAAAATTAGAGTATTCATGGTGGTTCATTTCAACTCATAGGATCATGTCCTATGCACGCCATCCTATTGTGCTGGTCATTTTTGTTGTCTGGATTGAGGTGCTAAATTCATCTGAAGTTAGTGTTGAGAGTAGGCTTGCACTAAGGCTTTGTTTTCAGCAATCCATTACATTATGTCAGTTTTTAAATGACCAGTTAAGTTGTTATGGATACTTATTTTCAGTTTTATTCAAACTGTGAGAGTATTATCTTCCTCCCAGTTTAAAATAAACAGAGAATTCTCACCTTTTTTGCACTTGTTTAAATCTGCTTAATACAACATCGCAAGTTAAATCAGTGAAGTTGTCTTGTGTAGGCAAGTGCTTGTTTATTTCAGTTCTAATGTGTGTTTAGACAATGTGCCAGTTTCTGTTCCTCCTATAAGGTTTCTAAGTGGACTTAGGTGCTTAAGGGCAATTCCATTAAACCTGCTCAAGTCCCTGAAAAAATCATTAATGCAGTTACTTTTGTAATATGCTGTCATCTTACTTTAAGACTGAGTCGCATAAAAAGCAGTAAGGATGAGGAGGATCCACTTACTTATTGCGCTGTTTTTAGAGGACTTGGCCAGGATGGAATAGACTTGCGCTAAGGGTAAAAATAGACTTCTCCAGATAAAGTGTATTAGTGTAGCAGAGTATGTCCCACCACAACTGATCCACTTTATTGGGTGGAAGACAGACACATTGCCCATTGTCCCACATTAGGCAGAGGCCTAATATGGGACAATAGGTGACAGGTTCCCTTTTCCCCATCCCTCACTGCCCAGTGCCTCCTTGCCTGGAACTGTGTTGAGCCATACCTGTTGCTCAAAGGCCTTACCTATAACTATATTTCATCAACAATTGACAGTGATACATCAGCGCCTATATATACTGTACTATATATGGTGGTTTAAACAGGACAGGGTAAAGATGCAGCTATTTATCACAGCATCATTAAAATATGTGAGCCCTCTCTACATTACCCTTTACTCATTCCTGGAATTGAGCTTTTCTTTTTTTCTAGTATAAGTGATGTAAGTGGTGCTTTTTTGTATCCAAGTTGATTGTAAAAGAGTTCCACTGTTTCTTGAACTAAGTAGAACTGGACACATTTTTTAAAACTGACTAATAAGTTTGTGTCCATCGATGTTTGTGTCCATCAGTCTAACACAAGAAAAATTTCTAGACAGGAGAGAACGCCACCCTCCAACAATCAGCTTCATTCCTGTGTCTCAGTTAGGCATTCCAAAACTGAAGCACCCCAAATTGCTAGTCATTTTTCAAAGTCTTGGCCAGAGTTTTCAAAAATTATGTACACCATGTACATTAAAATTTTGATACATGTGTTTTCACTTTGCTGGCATCCTGAATCAAGTGTGATATCAATTGGAAATGGTTGATGTAATTAACTACTTTTTGGCCTCTGTTCAGCAATTTTCAACTGTATCTCTCTCAAGAACAGATTTCACTTTGCAGGATTTGGTCAGCAAGAAATAGAGAGAACAAAAGTAATAACATATTGTTCTTAATAGGGAAATGAAAATGTGATAATTTGCATTATGTTCCAAAAAGGCTGCAATGTTATATAGTACCCTACCTGATTTCAAGATGGCATTTCAAACCCTGGTGTTCCCCACTGACATAATTTTTTTTTTTAATGGATGACTGAAAAATAAAGAAATGTTTATTATTTTGTTCTATTTATTATCCAAGCAATCAAACCCAAACATAAAAAATGTGTTCTATAAAGAATAATTTAAAACAAAGGAGCAATAAGTCAGATCCTAATATAAATACAAATGTTTTCTATTTTCAGCTAGAGAAGAACACAAGAAAGAAGAGAATTGTTTGGAGAATGCAAAGAAATGGTAAGATTTCTAGTCCCTTCAAAAGATACTATATTTTGGTTAAAGATGATAGTGATAATGTGAATGCAATTAAACAGAAAAGACTACTGTACTTCAAAACAGAAATCTCATGCTTCTCCAAACCTTTTTACATCCTCTTCCAGAATAGATATGAATCAAATCAAGTGATTTGAACCAAATATTCTAATATGCTTACAGTTTTAATTTTTTAATTCCTTATCTGAATTCTCAACATATTTTAATAAATTATGAACAATTATATTAATAAACTATGTTTGAATGCCATTTTACCCCTTCTAAAATATAAATCGGTCAACTGAGATAAGTCTTTGAACTTGTAATCTTTCTAACATATGGATGGGTATCCATGTCATAATTTTCTTTGGAGAGGCAGGCATCAGGGAGAAAAATGGGCAGAAATTAAGAGTTTCAAAACATTGCTTTACAAATTATGCCTGTGTGACGCTTCTGACTTCCATATTGTTGTGTACAAGATATAAAGTTACTGTAAATGGCCTTAGTTGTCAGTATTTTAGGTGATTTTTGGGAAACACCTTGCCTGGATTTTATATTGCATATGAAAAAAATAAGACTGAATATTTCATGTGCAAACTACAGTTTTGTGAATCCTGTTAAGATGGAATTGCAGTATTCATGTAAATTTAGTAAGAAAAAAGAGTTTACAGAAGATAAAGAATTTACTTTTCACTAGTTTTTCAAGCACTCATAAAAAATGAATAATGGACAAACTTTATATTTGACATGTCAAAACTAGGAAAATGTCACGTGCAAGGCAACTATTATGTAACAAAAAAAGAAATACTAACAAATATTTGTATTATCTCCCTCACAAACCAAGAATTAACTCTTCAGAAAAGTGTAGCATCATCTTTGTTGATTGAAAGAGGGCAGGTTTTACATCTTATCTAAAGATGAATGCAGAAGAAAGACGCATCTGATTCATCAGAATATACTAATTCATCAAAAAAAATGTTTTGAGGGAAACACACCAGTTTCAACAATTTTTGTTGAATCACACACAGCTATGCTTGAGGATCTCCAAGCACTTTATGAGCGTTTTCCCAACACCTTTGCAAGGGCAGGTATTATTGTTCCCCTTTTCAGGTGGTCCAGCTGAGGCACAAAGCACTTAAGGGAAAGTTTCACCCAAGTCAGGGCAGAGCTCAGAATGGCCTTGACTTACAAGCCATTTGTCTGATTATAATCATATGTGTACAGATCTGTCCCTACCCTGTAGTAATACCAGGATATTATCATACAAATCTAGTTGTATTGCATTTCAGTGCGTATAGTCATACATTAGATTTAACTGATTTTTAAAGATGTATTATTTTTCCTTATTTTTATATTTCTTTAATACAGGCAAATTCAAAGTAGTTTGGGGACATGTGTTGTTTGAGCATTATGCTTTTTATATCAAGTAATTTTTTACGGATTTGCTGTCTTTTCCCTATTACTACAATTTTTGCAGAAGAGTTTTCTTGGTGGTTTCTTATTTAAAATATCATATATGAAAAAGAAATCCAAAGAGAGATTCCTAATTATCTAAACATATGTAAAGTAGCTTTAAATTGTTTAAAATATATTTTCACTTTTAGGGCTAGGTTCACTGTTATGCTCTAGATAGCTGTACCCTTCTGCTCAATATAAAATAGGCTGTGCTTGGGGATCTTTTTGTTTTTGCTTTTTTAATTACATTTTCCATACACTGTTAAAGAAATATAAAGAGATTGATACTATGTAGCAAGTCCAATTATTTTAAGATATGCATCATTAATAGTAAATATTTTGTTTTATTATAACAATCATGGCCTCTGACATTTTCCAAAAGATTAGTTGAATGAAAATTATATTTGTTGAACTTAAATTGTAACTTCTACAGACCGTATTAAAGAGCACCTTCTATTAGTTTCAGGACTTCAGCATACTAAAGAAGAGCAGCTGGCAGATATGACTTCAGCATACTAAAGAAGAGCAGCTGGCATCTAAAAACAAAAACATCGCCTCCTTTTTCCCAAAAAGTGCCAGAGTTTCAAGGAAAGTGAAAACATTTCCCTCAAAAGATTTTCTTGTGTTGTTTATCCTTTAAAGTTATGATATTGCTTTTAATCAAAGTCAGAAAAGCTTGCCTGGTGGATATATTTAATTTGCCATGAAAACTATTTTGACTCTTACTAAAGCAAAAATGCTCTTGTTTCTGCACATATAATCATGGTCATGGAATCAATTACCAGTTTATCTATGAAATGCGATTCCAAAATGGTTAACGTGCATATTGCACAATAACTTTTAATGCCACAAAATATGTTCAACGGTAAAAGGTTCTTTTAGAAATGTTCAGATACACCACAAAAATGATTAATAGTAGAATATTACAATACTGGCAAAAAAAAACCATGCATATTAATATCTCTGTTATTAGCTTGCCAACACCTTTGAGAATGGATGATTCACTTTCAGCGTATTATCTTGTTTCAAATTATATGTCACTGACTGTAGCATTTTTGTTGCTGGACTGAACTCCTCATAACTACCTGAGAGTCACCCATAACCTAGACTGAGTAGAACTGGGAGTGGGGGTTCTACTAAGAGTCTCTGGCCTGGCATTCAACTCTTCTGCAGACTCTTTAGAAGGTAGATAACTCTTAGGAAGGTAAATGAAAAATAGGTCCCATTTCAGTTTTGCAGAATAAAATACAAGTTCATAAGGATAATATAGCATTACATAAATTACAGGTTATTATGTTTGGCTTATTAAAAATAAGATCCAGCAGTTTGCATACATTGTGACCATCTATGTTTCCTGATACATACATACGAAAATTATTCTCCTGAGAATAAAGTAGATGTTGGAAGGTTAGTTACACTTGGCAAGAATCGCTGCTATGGTTTCCAAGGTTAAGGGAAGTTATGGTAATTACCAATCTTGGCTACTGAGTCAGGAACCAGCCCTCAGGAAAACTAAGCTTCCCCGGTGGGTTTACGTGTTGACAGTTTTTTTCCCCCCTGTAGCTTTGAAGAAACAGTGGGATACTTCGGGATAAAGCCAAAGTCTGGTGAGAAGGAGATCACACCAAACTACGTTTTCACGGTGTGGTACGAGTTCTGCAGTGACTTCAAGATCATTTGGAAACGAGAGAGCAAAAACATTTCCAAAGAAAGGTAAGGTTTTAATAAAGCCATTAATACCATTTCAGATGTCTGGGAAACTGTTCCTTCTCAAACCAAACAAATTATACTCCCATATTTCACAGGCGTCATTGTTTTCTTTCAGATCAAATGGACATCAAGGAAAGATTATTCCCTCAGGGTGCGTAGGAAAATTCACCAAAGGCATGCTGTCCCCACAAAAAGATAAACACATATAATCTGATAAATTACACTTTCGTAACCCCTTCCAATTATGAGCTAGTACAATGAAAGGAGAGCTGTGCTAATATGTAACAGATTGCTTCTCTGTGCATTTTCATGTCGAACTAGCCTAAATGAGGCGATATTGCTGCCGCAAACAGTACAGACAAATAAAAGCGAATGCTTTCCCAGTTAATATACTACACTTGCATCAAAGAGAAGCCCCTGAGATTCAGGCCACACTTAGCACAGTGTTGAAGCCCCACATTGAATTTACAGCACCACTTCTGACTTTTGGTATCCTGCTGAGGACATCAAACTACTTGCCGCTAGATCTCACCACACTCTCCTGATTTTATTAGTTGGAGTAAAAAAAATAAAATACAAGACCTGCAATTCTCTGCCTGACTTTTGTTTTAAAAGAAGGCTGAAAAGTTTTTTGAGAGAGACAAATACTACATTACAAAGTACTGAATGTGCTGTAATGCATTCACATTTATATATATATATATATATATATATATATATGATTAATCACTTTCAGTATAAATTGCAAAGCCAGGTGTGTATACCAAACCAAAAGGGGTGAAAAAGGAAAACTTTTCTCTTGAGAACATATTGGCAAGTGTAGTTAAGTGCGGTTACATTATTCCTTTTGCTCCAAATCAGTGTGAATTGTTCCATTGATTAGTTGATCGTAAACTGGTAACTTCTAAAGATGTTATGCATACATCACAAATTCCTGAATACTCAGAGTTATGACAGTTCTGTTAAGTCTGTTACAGATTGTAGATTTTAAAACTTAAAAGTAGCGTAGTGTTCTCTCTCATTCATTTAACAACACGGCTAAATCAATTTAGAACGTTTACAACATGTGACATTTACATGAGGATCTTTTATTTCCCTTGTGCCTGACTCAACAGCATATACATCTGAAACTATAAAATCAATTGGCACTGAGCAGACTTCCATGGCCTTGTACAAGCTTCCCCAGTACAATAGCAAGATGTGTTTTCCATTGAATCATGTCCTTTTGATTTCATTCCATTACTAGTCATAGGGGCTATAAATTAATATTGGGAAAAGATCTAGGCCATGCATCCTTTCCTTTTTCATTTGTGTAATTACCAGCTTGCTGATTACATAGCTAAGAAACAGAGTTAAACAACTATTTAAAGGTATAAACATTGCCCTTAATGGAACTTATAAGTGATGTTTAATTTTTATTTGGAATGAACTCTCCTCCATGATTTTTTTTGTGCTTTACTGCCAAAATATTGTCCAAATGGTGATTTATATTTGATGTGCTTACAGCTAAAAAAAAATGCAAATATTTGATCGGTTCTGTTAATGGTTTGATGTAATAGTTTTTTGTTATTCATTAATTTACTGTATGTTTTACTGGTTATTTATTAATAATTATTAACATTTTTTAACGTGAAGGTTTGTGGGACCCTGTCATTTTTAGATTTACATAGACTCTTTTTTAAAGTTTGCTTCAAATGACTTTAATAGTGTCATTACCTTTGAAAGGATTTTTTTTTTTTTTCCCTTAAATGCAAAAGAAAATTCATCAAGGAATTGTGCTTTTCAAACAGAGCCCCATGAAATAACTGAATTAGAATGCTGGAAAACTGTTTTCTCAAAATGTCTTATAATGTGCTGCTAAAATGGAAAAAAATGTGAATTAATTAGAATGATGGAAAAACTGTTTTCATCATCTTAAAATATCTTTAAAGGCTCTGTTTTACCAAGTATGAGACTAACTATTCACCAACTGCTGTACGGGAAGGAACATCTGAAAGAAAACTAAGTGGCTTTGTGTATATTGTGATTTTAATACTTTTAATAACTTTAGTATGACAGGAATGGACAGCTGTCTCTGTAGCTGGGTTAAGCTAATTAATTTGATGCACTATTTTCTTGCATTTCTACATATTAATTATGTAGAATTGTGCCAGTAACCAGGTCCTTTTTGACTAGGGAAAATGTATGTATTTTCCTGTTTTTCACTAGGGATAATTCATAGTTGTGACCAATTTTTTTCAAATTTGAAGCATGAAAGATAGGCATTAAAATTCATATTTAGGCATATAATCTTAAAAAGTGAGTTCAGTATGAGCTGCTGATACTTAGTTTGAACTTTTCAGAATTAAATTAATCCTGTCATTTGGATGCCTAATTATGGCTTTCAGTGACTACCTTTAGGAGCCTAAATGTTTAAATACAACTTTATATAATATTTTCTTTATTACAAAATATAGTCCCAGCAATCTCCTAATACTGAACTGTACAATATTATCACTAAAATGACCAGTCCATTTTTGTTATTAAATAGAATGAATTACTATCTAAAATTTGATATTGCGTAATTTGAAGCAAATGTAAGAAATAAAACTGCAATATAGGATTTGGATATGAGAAATTTTACACTATAAGGCCTGACTGCTTTTGGGTTATTTAAGGGCAGCAAAAGATTTCTAAAATTGCAAAACAAGGCTTAATAGTACCCTGAACTAAATGATAGACTTAGTTGCAAGACTGTGTTGTCTAAATATTACTTGACTCCTAAATGTAACAAAACTGTAGAAAACTGATTAGCTTTCTTTCTTTCTTTTTTTTTTTTAAGTAGAGGAAACATTTACTACCCTTTACTTAACCCAACATGAAAATAAATTAGATTCCTGCAAAATATAGTTGAATCATTCTCTCTTTCCAGGACAAAATTTACACATCAGGATAGGGCTGGAAAACAGAGTTATAGACTGAGATATAGAAACTAGATGTAGTAATAAATAAACTACTATAGAAGTTAAATCCAATTTTTTACAATCAAAACCCCTATGCAATGGCATTTTCCCTATCAGGCACAACCATTTCTTCAATATTAACTTGTACTTACAATCTTCAAGTTCAACATTAAATCTTTAAAAGATAACCTCTCTAGAATGACCACTTCTTCATTCTCACATGTATTTTCACATAAAATGAACCACAGTATTACATACATGCATACCATACATAGCAGAGAACTCTTTAGAGAGCTGTTTCTACTGTTGTTATTAGCAATTTATTGGCCATTTTTAATATATACATCTGTGTGTCCAGATATCTTAACTGTTTCTTCACACATGGTTTTCTTCCTTTTACAGAAATTCAGAGACAAAAATACTTCTTGAGTATTAAATGCAGATATTTTCTGGTAACAAACCAGTCTCCAGGTCTCTAGTATATTTAATTCCACCATCATTCCTTGTTTTGGGCAAGTGCAGCTGGTGTATTTGTGAATTCAGAATAAATTAATCTACCCTTTTTACTTATTTAAGAGAGCCTAGCAAATCCTACATTTAATCTACAAATGGTTGTAAACTGCTGACATACCAAGTAAACATATTTCTTATACCTAGGAAAAGGTCTTACACCAGAATGAGGTTGATAATTTTGAGTTTCAGATAGTCTCCTATCTATTTTTGGGTGTGTTGGGAGAAAGTAGAATGGAATAGAATGAGGAAATTGCTAATTAGGACAGAGGTACATTAGTTTAGAACATGAAGGTACCTTTCCAGATGGAATTTCAGTGATAATTTAAATTCATTTCAGAGATAATTTAGTTCATTATTTCACGTGGAATGTGCACCAAACTTAATACTCTACTGTTAACAAAAAGAAAAGCTGCAAGCCCTTTTGGGTCAGAGAGAAAAGCCAAGTGATTCATAGATTCATAGATGCTAGGGTCAGAAGGGACCTCAACAGATCATCAAGTCCGACCCCCTGCCTAAGCAGGAAAGAGTAGAGCTGGGGTCAAATGACCCCAGCCAGGTGCCTATCCAGCCTTCTCTAAAAGACCCCCAAGGTAGGGGAGATCACCACCTCTCTTGGAAGCCCATTCCAAATTTTAGCCACCCTTACCGTGAAGAAGTTTTTCCTGATATCTAGCCTAAATCTGCTCTCTGTCAGTTTGTGACCATTGTTCCTTGTTACCCCAAGAGGTGCCCTGGTGAACAGAGCACTTCCCAGCCAGTAGGTATGCTGGATATTTTTGCACCCTAGGTGCAGCACTCTGCACTTGTCCTTGTTGTAGTGCATCCTATTGTGTACTGCCCACTTCTCTAACCTGTCCAGGTCTGCCTGCAATTGTTCCCTACCTTCCAGAGTGTGCACTTCACCCTACTATTTAGTATCGTCTGCAAACTTGGACAGAGCACACTTCACATCCACATCCAAGTCACTGATGAAGATATTGAAGGTATCAGGACTTGAGTTATAAATATCATCTATGGACAGCAGCTCAAGAACCACTGTATTGGGCTCTGCCTGCTATTTGAAAACTAGGTTTTTTGAAAACTGGGATCATATAATTTGGTATTACCGCTCATTTATTGTTAATGGTTATGATTATAGGTCTTCTAAAGATATTTCTTGTAATAATTTTACACATTTGCAATGCTCAGAGTAAACCGATAAGGAGATAGATGGTTGTTTTCAGTAAGATTTGCTTCCATGTTTATCTCACCAGTAACATTATGAGGCCTTGATTTAACTGGACCTGCTAAAGATGAGTATATTAAAGCTAATTCATTGATCATTAAGTATCCTTACTGTTATTAATAATTTGATTGGCATTTGCTTAGACCTTCTGCATTACATAGCCATACTGCCTTACTGATGCCACATATGGTTTCATAAAATAATGAAATCTGGCTTCCTTATGGTTCCTAGAAGATCCTGTTTTGCACATCACATGCAGACTATACACAGCTATTTCATTTACATATGTCTGTATTGATTTTAACACTGCAAATAACTAGTGT